TAGTGGTGTAAGGAAATTTAAGTACTTTACTCAAGGTTAATGTAGGTCTCAGTTAGTTGGGGTAGCCGGAGGTAATGTTATGACACCTTACTTGTACACGTTGTATTGAAGTATTTTAATACATTTGGGTCATTATTTAATACCATCACAATAACTCTAAATTATAGAATCATGTTGCAGTGGAATGCACAGGTTAGTTAGTAGTTTTAAATGTACAATTTCTGATGTCTTACCTTTAATTATATTGTTCTACCTATACTGAACTTAAAATAGTTAGATCGAATTTATACCCAAACCTAACCCATAAAGTTTTTTTAAAAAATAATGAACTTTAAATTATAGTTATAGCTCGGAAAATTTAATTATATTTGTTCAAAATTCGAAACAAAAATTAAGGCGGTTTGATTTGAATTAACCAATACGCCACAATAGAATACTTTTATTTGGTAACTTTAAAGGCAATACACCTGGAAAATTCTTGGTGGCATTTTCTTACTCATTTAGGAAAATAGTAGTTCTGTGTCTTGTGGGTAGAGGATAGTACACGTTTTGAATCTCGATCACGAATACTCACCATAATTATAGTGTTGTAAATCAAGTCGTCTCAATTGTAATGAAAAAAAATGGTTTATCCACATAAGTAATATGAACATTTGCTGTACGCGGTACGGTAAATTGTTGAGCTAATAAAGCCGTGTGGCGGCGATCATAAACACTTGGTCACGCTCTAGTTGATTCAAAAAATCTAAACACACTCGAATAAAGAGAATCGTCACTGATTTTTAGGTCTCATTACAAGAACAATAATAATATTATAATTATGTGCACAACTTTTTATGAAAGAAGAGTCGTCTTGGTGCATAATGACCCGACACTGCAGCCACGAATATGCCTATATTGACATATTGCAAAGTAAACAAACCTTGTTCTGCAACATTTTTCCACGCGGTTGCAAAATCGTGGACAACCAGAAGACCGTGGGAATCGTTATTTATGTGTACTGTGAATGTTTTATTGTTCTTTGATAAGTGCAGGTGCAAAACTCGAACTTTCATAAACGTCCTTGCACCAAAGATGTGTTATTAGTTATTAGTTGTAAATCTACAGTAACATAATAACATCAATATTACTATGTTTTCATTAGATTATTATTGGAAATTTGTTCTATGTATTTTTAAAACTGCTGTTGATAAAAACGATTCAATTACCTAGATTGTACTGAAACTTACATTTATTTACTTGGCAGTTCCTATGCCTTTAAAATCTATGAAAACCTTATAAAGACGACATGATCTAGATGACGAGAGCAATGCATTAAAATACTTCAGTTGAAAATTGTTAATATAAATAAAATTATGTTATGATTGTTCATGAACTGTTAGTAAATCTCGAAGACAGATTATACTTATTGTACATAGTTATTTTTTTTAGTGACGTTTCAAGTACAATTAGGTGTGATTAATTAGAGTGTGTTTTTATTTTTACTAAGTGAATAGTTTAAAGGAAATTAAGAAATATGATTTAAATTAAATGTATTTCACATTACCTATTATAAATGATTCGAAAATCAATTATCATATTCAACTGTAAGGTTTCTTTGTTCAATTACGTATTCGCATTGGAATTAGATTTGACACATAAATATTATATACTCGACTGTTTTTATGATTAATAAGCTATTATTTTAAAGTACAAACTGTATCAAATCGGGTTATGAAACAGTGGTATCGAAACTAGCTAAATGAAGAATCTTTACGTCCTATTGTGTTTTTTTATTTTTTAAACAAATTAATTTTTTCACAAGACACGTCCTCAACTATACTATAGCAACAATTAAAAGTTTCTCAACTATGTCGACCAGTCGTGGCACACGATACTACTATGGTCTAGAAAACAATGGGTTGATCAGGTTTTGGTGTACATTGGAATATTTATATGTTATTATGCGGGTTATTGTTTCGAGCCAATTGCAAAATTAACGCTGTTGTTTAATTGACCGTCGTGCGCTGAAGGAACAATGGGGGCACGACATATTTCAAACACCATTTTGGACGTCTTACGTCAAAATGTTTATAGAATAAGAAGCACATTAAAAGAAGAATACTCTCCATGATTGTTTTTTAAATTTTTCTATTTTAATAAAACGTTAAACAAAATGTATTAAATGATTTTTATTATTTTTAGGGCGTTCATGTAGTTTACTACATCGCCAAATCGTGACCTTTCCAAGGACACGATTGTTTGTTTGTTGAGTTCAAATATTGTTAATGCGCTTTTCATACTCATGTTCGGGTGTCTAACGATTTTATATATTTTTTCATTACAATAGCTGGTTCTGGTGTGAGAGTATTAGGCGTTTCATTAAAGAATCTTGAATACTGGCTCGTTTATTTGACTATTTTGTAATCATGTGGTATCGAGAACACAAATAACACGTTAAAATATAAATAATAGTTTAACGAAGTAGAAAATTATTATACTGTCACTTAATTTGCACAAATACATAATAGATACCATAGATACATAATAGGTATCTAAATAAGCAATATATACAACATTGATTTCACTAATGTGTGCTTTTAATTTTTACTTAGCCATTTTACACTAAAATGATTAATTACCCACGAAAATTGTATGTTTTAAATGTAATCGGTTAGTTGTAAAGTCCATTACAAATTATTAAGAATTTATTGCTATCTACACTACATGTTAAGTGTTATATATTATTAAAAAAAATGAAATATTGTTATTAAATAATTGTAAATAAAATTTCAAAAAAATTAAACGTTCAAATTGGTGTTAAAAGATTTTTCTTATTAATAGTTTGAGTTGATAAACATAAATAAATTGTTTATGTATAGAATGTATTAAATATTTTTTATAAAATTTGTTTAAAGATTGTTGGCAATATTTTATTTAGTTAGTATTGAAATGTAAGATATTAAGGAATCTTCTTATAGACGTTTTTAATACATTTTTTAGACCAGTTGGGCTTAATAGTGTGACCTCTTTGCTCAAGACAAATTACTTAAGTTTCTAAAGAAATTGACTAGAACATTAATAATTGTTTGTTAAATTTTTTTCATTAAATTTATTTTTAAAATTAAAAATTGTTGAATATATTCGACACTTGTTTTTAAAATGTTAAGTACCCCTTACGGGTTATTATTTAAAGTATTACAAGCAGACTTTAAGAAAATTATAGAATTTTTTGAGCATTGTGTTTTAAATGATCCATTTATGCCTGTAGTCATGTTATGAAACTAATAGTATATATCCTAATAATAAATTAAAAACTAAAAAATTACCTAAAATTACATAACTTTTGTTAAATAGTTCAATTAGTTTGTATTTCAATTTAAGAGTTTTTGTATATAAAACATTTTAAGGTAGGTTTTTTTGTTAACGTTGAGGGAGACTTGAAAATCACCGATCCAAATCGGTTTGTGACAAGTAATTTACAAAGTGATGAATTTTTATCGGTCAACAATACTTTTGTATTGCAAAAACAATGTTGTAGAAATGATTTGCAAGTCGTGGGAATCGTTCTATTTTCATACGAAAATATACAAATAAAAAATAAGTAGAAAATCAAAATAAAAATAGTCAGTTTAAACTCTGTAAACCGGAACAGACCGAACGGAAAGATTACACAAATTGTTGATTTTTCAAAAGAAACCAACCACCAGATTATTTAAAATATTATATATACAATTTTCATACGTGACTAGGAGAAAGCGTATATCATATATTTAATAAAAAAAATTAATGCCTTAATTTAAAAATATTACTAAGCAATGTTCCGAAAATTTTGTCAAACTTGGGCGAAATTTGAGTATGCAATTTTTTTTTTTTTTGAGAAAAATATAATAATATGGACAGTATTTATTATTTTTTTATGTAATGCTTCATAAGTTTTATTGGCATTTCATAATAAGTTACTGGTGTACACATCAAATGTTGACGCAACGAGTTGTGGTTTTATAATGTTCGATAACTAAGATTATTAAAAAGTAAAATCAGCGTTATAAAATATTTAAAATTAAATCGTGATAATTAAAATAATTATAGTGAGAGTTATATTGAAAACAAAAACGATGAACATTCGATAAAAACAAATTATTACTTGCATTGTAGTTAAAAATTTCCGACAAAAACAAAAGAATCAATAAATTATGTTAGTCGTAAAATATATTGTTATTCATAGAATTCTTCTAGGTATTATTTATACTCATTGGATAATTGGAAATAATATGTATGCCACAATTAAATTCATTGTATTATTTATACTGTTTTATTGTAAACAATACTAAGGATATTGATAGTTGCACACACAATTTATTCTTTGTGTTAAGAAAGCGATATATTTACAAATTATTGAATTTTTGTCAAACAATTTAAAATTTCAATTTTGACATATTATATGAAACAAATAACTATAAAAAAATAATGCTTATCATCGTAGGTCTGTGACGAATTGTTTCATTTAATTTTTTAATTACATTCAGAAATTCAAACATTGTGCAATTTGTTTGTTACCAGTCGACGAATAATATTAAGATTTCTCGTACGGGACTCCTCTGGTAATAATATATAACATTCTCCAAATGGGTGTAAATAATTAATAAATTTATACTAATAAATTAATTTAGCGATATTTAAATTTCACAATACTTTCAACTACTGAAACATGTTTTGAGATTAAATTTTGTTCAGGATAATTTGTTTCGTAGATAAACAAATAATAAATGTAGGTCAATCGATTGGTGTGCGGTCGTTTACCTGAAACAAGAATTTTTTTAATACTGTGTCATCTATGTTTTATGATCGACTTGATAGAGAATCGAAGAGAAAGTAAAAAGTTTGTGCAATAGAAACGCATTGTTTTTTTTTTTACCATTGATGTATTAATAAAATTACATATTCTTTTTTGTAAGTCGTTAATTAGTCGTATTAATTTTGTTAACTTTAACTAATCAATAAATATCTTTTTTTTTCAGAGTATAATTAAAACTTTATCAGTTCGAAGCACGAGCGATGGAACATATTATTATTGTAAGTAATTGCCAACATAAAAGTACAATTGAAGAATTAAACGTATAAACGAACTTTTATTAATCCAAAAACCGTAATAAACCGTTGATTTTTTATAACGTAAATTATAATTTTTTGTTGTATGGTCAGCTCATAACACGAATCTCAACAATTCGTTTACCGCTACTGAATTATTGAATTTTTATTAATTTTTTGATAGATATAAAGAGCTTAACTTAGTACTTTGTTCAATATATTTAGTAATTTTATTTCAAATTCCTGCTAGAGAAAATTTTGCAAATCTTTTTACAACTTTTATTTTAAAAAAAATTCTATACTGTAAAACCATTCTCATATTTCTCATATATCCCATTTCTCATTTATTGACAAATCCTTTTGATATCTATTACATTTTGTATCAAATTTTTATAGAAAAAATTTTACGTAAAGTATGATTTAATAAGATTTATTCTATTGTAAATAAAGTAAAACCTTTTTAGTAGAGTTTTAAATAAATAAAATATGAAATGAACAATTATTTTAAAATACTTAAAAGGTGTGCAACAACTTTCTCGATCACTAAATCTTTTTAAGTGATTAAAATACGATATGTTTAAACATTGTATAAACATATTTGTATTGTAATTTTTTGAAAATCCTCTACGATGTTGTTTAATCCAGCACTAACATTGTATATAGGAAACCCAAATCATAATTATATTAGAGCACGATTATTTTTGTTCTCTAACTGTACTTTGCTGTAAACATGAATTTCATTTATCTGGAGTGTCTTACCATTTTGATTGTTATCGTAAAAATTGTAATGAGTTTTTACAGTGATAAATTGAAAAGGTGTTATTTAAAATTAAAATTTTTTTAATTATGAATAATTTTTTCGCAAATGATGCATATTGAAAAACGAAACTTGAATATTGTCTTAAATTAAATAACATGAATGCATAATTAAATAATGGAGTTGATTTTTTACACTTTCTTTTAGTTAAATTAAAATTGATAAATATTATCTAATTGTTACTCTTATTTACTATCTACTTTTTTATAAATATAACTCTTGTAGAAATACTTATTTTTATCTAATTTAGTAACTTATATTTATTATTTTGCTAAATTGGTGACTATTGTTTAATAAATTATTTCGTGGATTAATAAATTAGTATTTCAATTTACAGCACAGTTTGTATAATTGATAAAATAAACTAATCATTTTTCAAAAAATTAGCTAAAAATTTGATTAGCTGTAATTATTATTTTGTTACACGATACTCTTAAATTCATTATTACAATGATTTGAAAAAATATTAGCGCCTCCTTAAAAATTAGAATTAATTATTTTCACTGTATCAAGCAATCGAATTTTTATTTGTAAATTATTTAAATTAACATCTTTTCAATTGTCAACAGATTGAATATATCATTTAATTGTATTTAGCCGCTAACACTTACTACATAGTATTGCAAGATAAATGATGACAATGTTTTTCAGTATTTAAGTACCGTTAAGCGATTGACGGAGAAAGGGGTTGATAAGATATATAGAACGTAGCACATGTTTTCACTTTTGTTTGAAGTTATGCGCATGGGAAGGAAGAGGAATTTCCTGAGATTATTAGAATAATAAAAGCCTTGGGCGGCCCGTATAGGTTTCTCCTTGTCGAGTGAAGTAACGACTAACGGCCACCCCGGGGCGATCTCGATTTCCATTTGTTTTGGCTTTCGATACCGAAGGCATAAAAAACGCAAGCTGCGGCATCAAAGCTCCAAATATTATAAGAAATCCCTTGAGGGGACAGTAAAATAAAAAATTTCTTTCTGGTTACACATATCCTTTTCACTCTCTTTCATCATACAGATGCATAACTGTTTAGCCATGACCAGTTATGACCAGAATGAATCATTGGAAGCATTGACCTCCATGTGTTTATAATACTTCAGGTTATCGGCGTTGATATTAAAACAATACGTTATAGCTAGATACAATTATGTAGTAATATTTAGCCAAATGATACCTTTTTTACTTTCACCTAATAAAATATTTCGGTACTTTAAATTAGAGTATAATACACGCTTGATAAAAGATCATAAATTATCAATAAAACAAGATCATTTTTGATTTGACCAATTAGAATATAGATTACTTTTTTTTAACGGTTGCTAAATTATAAATAAAAATTGTAAATAGTTTTATGAATGTTATATATAAATATATTAAATTTAAAAGTTTGTACTGTTGCAGTAGTTAGTGATTCATTTAAATGATTAAATAACGAGTTTATCGAGCTCAACCCAACTAAAATCGCCGCAGGTATATACAAAAGCTTACTAGTTATATTGACTTACTATTTTATTATTTGGAAAATACTTTTCAATTATATATAATGATTTAAGAAAATGTTACGTTATTTTTTAATTTAAAAAAAATTTTATAGATAAAATTATAAAATAATAGTTTAAAAATTATTATTATTTTATATTTATTTAAATACTAAAGACGTTATGGGACCACGTCCACGTACTCGTAATTCGCGATTCGCTAGCTTATCATTATTATATGGGCAATTTAAGTTAGAGTGAAAAAAATATAAAGATACTAATTACCTATATTAGTTTTATATATTAATAAAAAATAAAACTTTAAAATGAATACGTTGTTTATTATTGAGATTTATGATTAAAGATAAATTATTGTTATGTACCCTCCTCGTAAAGTAAAATTATAAACAAAATCCATTCAATTCTGTAATTTTTAAAATTTTGCGTTCACAACAAGTAGGACTTTTATTACCACTGTTTGAAAAAATATCCTAACCAGTACAAATTAAAAAAAGAAAAACAATTTTTTCTAATAGATAATTTATTTAACAAAATTTGTTTTATTACAACATGTAGTTTACTACTCTAAATGTATAATTAACGGAAACATTTTAACTCTTCAGTGCGCATTTACCGGTAATGCGGTTTACAAAGATGTTTAGCAGTGATTCATTTACTGTTATATTGATAATCTTACTGTTAAAGTAATTTTTCAAAGCTTTATAATTAAGACTGTTAAAAACTTGTTAAAATTGTTTATTACGATATGTAACCCCCTTTCCTCCAAAAAGATTCAAAAGATTTCAAAAATACTTCATGAATATTTATTTTTTGGATAAGAGTGACATTAAATACATTTTGTAGTAAAGAAAGAATTCTTATGTCTGTTGAAAATTAATAAAGATATCAATAAAATTAATTTTTGTTCTCTGTATACTTTTTCTCTTTTTAAGACAAAGTAGTCATCATTCGAACCCATAGCCAGATTAAGACCTATATGGCCTGCAGGATGGTACCTTAAGGTAGGCCCCAATAGAAAATATCGCTACTATAAAGAAGTGATAAGCATAAAAATATAAAAACTGTATGGCACTAATCATGACGGGTTAGTAAAATATGTGATGAGCCTTTTAAACTCATGAGCCTCGAGGCGTTCGCTCCCATACCCTTCTCTTAATCCACGCCTGATCGTACCTTGGATTTGTTTCACTTTCAACAAAATAATAATTTATTATTAAAGTAATTATTAGTTATTTAAATATTAAATAATTTCCAAGAGACATTTATGAATATATTAGAAAAAAATTAAATCGTGCGAAAATCCCAACACACACATAATGTGCATCTAACATTGAACTGCACTGAAAAAATGTTTACATAGGTTTAATATGTACAACGGAATTACAAGACCACAAGTGAAGACAGTGTTTATTTTCGTTGTTGTCGATCTGTTTTGCTGAGTGAAGTTGTGTGCGGTAGTGAAAAAACCACAGTCTTTCACTCATAACGGTGTTTGAACGGCTGGCACCGGCAGTTATAACCTGGTAACGGAACACTTGCACACGTTCCTCCGAAATACCATTGTGCGGTCACGTGTCTTGAAGCGTCGAATAATATTATTTATGTGTGTCGGTGTGTTATCAATCATTAAAACGTCTATTCCGTGATGTGTTTATCATCAAATTATTATTATGGTTATTACTATTCTGTTGTTACTAATATTATAGAAGCTTTTGAATAGATAATATAAATAGAGAATTTAATATTTTATACGTATTTGAAGTGATTGCTTGTGCTAGTATGTGTATTATAGTGTCATGAAAAACACACAAAAAATATGTTCCATAAATTATAATCAAACTAAATATGTTGGTTGAATAAAAAAATTGTTATTATTTAAATTATTTGAAATATTTAATGACTCTTATTAACGTAAAAATCATAATTTTGTAGAATAATTGGTGTTTGTAAAATTCCTAAGATATTATATCTTCCCCAAAATCTTGTTGTACCTATTATAATAATTATACTTTTAATATATATAATATATATATATATATACCTGAATAAAAAATGTATACGTTACATATTTTAGTATATAAGTAAAATATTATGAAACGAAAAGTACTTAAATGTAGTTATTAATTAAATTTTGAAAATTTAATTAATTTCCTTAAAATTGAATGATGTATAATCATTTAAACCTTTATATATTTTTACTTAATTAAATTTTTTCTAAAAATTCCAAAATTTTTTATTGTTATTGCAGATGACTAGTTATTAATATTTATAACCATATATGAATAATGGGTAATTCAAACAGTCATGGAATTCCTTATGCAACGAGCGACACTCAAGCAATACCGCCACATTCATGGGCATACTCTTTTCCTAGGTCACAATATTTTGGTCCGGTAGGACCAAACGGTTTACCTCAACATTTACCTAGTCCACGATTACGTCCTCCGGAAAATGGAACAACTATGCTTAATGGTGGACCGATTATATCTAAAAGGCCATATGACTACAGAGATAATGATGAAGTAAGTTATATGTTAATTTTGATTTATCATTAAATAATAATTATTATAAAAAGCCTAGTTATAGAGAATAATTCTCTATTATTAAAGATATAATGATAGTATCTAATTGATTTAAGTGACGTTTTAACAACAATTATAATTATCACTAATATATGAATAACTCCAAACTTGTTCAATAAAATATTTAGAAAATATTAAGATTTTTAATATTCTAAATAAATTATTATGTGTAAACAAATTTCTGCTTGACAAATGTCCTCTATGAAAATTTTGTTTGGTATCAATTTTATGTTTATACAATGTGATTGGTAATTATAAACCACTCGAATAATCGCAAAATAAATTATTATAAAAAAAATTTGCTTTATTTTAGTTACGTGTATTTTTGATTTATCAGCTAATAATTACTTTTTAGAAAAATCACGTATAACTTTAAAGGGTGTCATTATTTTTATTATTTCAAATGGCATTATACATATTTATTAGCTTATAAATTATAAAATAATCTAATTAAGAAAATGACGGCTCGAAAACAACATTTCGATCAATATTTCGGAAGTTAATCTCATATATATACCTTGGCAGAAGGAAGAGTACAGCCGGGAAATGATAAGTGATAGAAATATCTGCACCCAATCCTCAACACCAGTCATTACTTTAAATTGTTAATAACTTCTGAAATAATGATACAAAAAATGTTATTTACTAGGATTTTTCTTAATTACATCATTATCTATTAAGTAAGCTAGTTAATTTTGTATAGTAATTTCTATACAATTTTCATCTTAGTGTTTTTTTGTTGTAAATAATTAACTCAAAAAATATGATTTTATAGATTTAACGACGTATTTATATTTATTACTTATACAATGAAGTACTAAGATTGCCTATATAAAACGCCTTGTTATTTCAGAGAATATTATTTAAAAATATTCAATAAAATTTGATTTTTTCATCCCTTAAATTATTCAACTACATATAAAAATAATTTGTGAAAAAATCGAGACTGTTATGAAAAAACGCTTGTTATAAGGATTTTGAAGTCGAGTAATATGTAAAAAAATTTGAACTTTAAATATAACTATTTTGATATTTAATATTCATAGTTTTAGTTTTTAACTTACAAATAGAAAAAATTATTAGATAGGTCCATACTTATATGTTCTAAAAAAATGTTGAATGTTCTTAGAAAATTAAAAATATTCCTAAAAAAATACCTTAAATGTATAACAACGCTCTAAATAAATAAAAAATGACTCGTTAAGTATCAATAAATGTTTAATAAAATTGGCTTGAAATAATCAATAATCTATTTAAATGCTTTAAAACAAATAAAAAATGCTAAAAATAAAAAATATGTTAAGTAATGCATTATAAAACTTTTATTTTTAAATTTTTCATCGTCTAAGGTAACCCTAAAAAGTACAACAGCTATTTAAAATATAAAATATGAGGAACTCTCAAAATTTAGAAAAAACCTTAATTTTTAATTTTTGTAGTTTTTAATTATACTAATAACTTGGCTTAATAAAATTATTAATATAATTTTATTAAATTTATATTTTTTGATATAATTCCTAATTATTAAAATACAAATATTTTCAATATAAAATTACCCCTAAAACAATATTTGAATTGTTTCTCAAAACTAAAAGCAAAGAAAAACATAAAATCAGTATTAAAATATTTTGGCAAAATTATATTAGATACTAATAGTCTTTTAATTTTACATAATTTCTTTTTTCATTTTATGTAGTTAAAAATGTTATCAAACATTATTATTCTTATAATTAAATAATAGTTATGTTGCATCAAATTACTCTATTGTCTCCAATGCCAAAAAAATCTATCAGTGAGTAAAATAACTATAAGTTACTTAAATTTTTCTATGCTTAAAATAAATATTAGGGGAAAAATGTTTTTTTGAAATGTGAAAGTTCCACTTTTTCTTATTTTAACTATCTACCATATTAACTCATTGTTTAAACTACATAAAAAATGTATTTTTGAAATCCTTATAACTTTTACTATTTTTAGGTTCATCTACCAAGTTAAATATCAAAAAGCGAAAAATACAACTTTTTATTATTTTTACATGTGATTAACAATTCAAGAGATAAATTCAAATTTCAAACATTTTTATTTTAAGGAATAGTACAAAATGTTAGCTATAGATAAGCTGAACCCTATAATAGGATGCTTGAGATCTTTAGTAACATTATCTTATTATAAAATGTTTTCAAAGAAATTTTTAATGATATTTAATAAACTTATAATTAATTAGAATATGTTCAAATTAATCATAATTTGTCGGATAAAAATAATTATTTTTATAAGGGTTTATCAAAAAGATTATTTTTGTATTCTTAAATTAAGTTAAATTAATGACATTTTTTTAAAGAAAAAAACTTTAATTTATTTTAGTTTCAACGAGGATACCATGTACCCAGACACTATCAGCACGAAGAACATAGGAAAAATCGTATAGGTTATAATATGTACAATAGTGAGCCAGATTTAAGATTTGCCTTAAATCAACATCAACCTCTAGCTCCTGTTTATGATCATCATCACAATCATCGAGGAGAGACTAAAGGACGATTATCAAGATCAAAAAAGAAGTACAAGGCACCTCAACTACCTCTACAACATCGTAACGGGGTAATTTTATATTTATTTAGTTTCAACTCAAATGATCTTCATTGTAATTATAATATATGTTTATAAAATATGCATTTTATATTATATTTATATATTATTGATTATTATATATGGATAATTTAAACTATCCATTATAAATTATATTACAATGAAGAATATTTTTAAATTATTTAATAATATTGTGTTCTGTACAATATATTATAAAAATAAGGAATATTTAAATTTTAGATGGAAAGTTCATCCCCAGATTCTTATCAACATTGGGAAAACCAAAAAGAAAACAGTCGATCTAGTCATAGTAATGGAATGCCAAGGTTAAGGTTATTCAAAACTAGAGCAGAAACAAATCGTAAGACCAGTAAAGATGAAATAACAAAAAATCCAGAAAATATTTTGAGTAATAAACCTCTATCTGGAAATTTACATCGCAGTATGTCGTCTCCCCAGTTTCAAGTAAGAAAAATTTCTTAAATTTATATTTCTAAATACTAAACTAGTTATTTTCATTTAGGCTGAATTGAAAAGAGTTACTGAAAAGTTGAGGGAAAAAGAATACCGCCATCCACCAGTTGGGCGAGCTTCGGAGAGTTCTTCAAATACAGCGTCGGAAGAACATGCAGTTATCGCCCACGACATTGAGAAACGTCAAGAGGATTTAGTAAACTCTAATAGAAAGCGACTTATGGCTGATCGAGCCAAAAATTTATCTAAATCAATACCAAACTTGGTAGCAGTAGACCGAATAGATGATAGTGTTCGTTATATGGGCGAAGGATCATCAGCTACAGGATCTAACGATGAAAATAAAAACTGCAAAAAAATTGATAAGCCGAAATCTAAGTAAACATATTTTTTATCATTTACTTTACATATTTTTAGACGTAACAAATTCTAATTTTTAATAGAAGTTATTATATTTTAATCATAATATAATTTGATTAACTCCGAAGTGATTCAAAATTGTAACATTAGAATTTAGTACTTACATTTTATTAAATATTTTTTTTTGTTCGACAATTGAACTAAAATAATATTTATTTTCTATGAACCTATTGGCTTAATTCAACGGCTGTTAGAAGAAATGTGTCTTATATTTTATTACTTGTCGTATTATAATAAATTGATTACTTGTATTGAATTAAATTTCCTATGATTTAATATAAATTAAACATTTTTTATGATACAGTGTGTCAGATAATAAGCCAAAAACATTTTACTTTGGCATGAATGAATTCAGTGATGACAGGACAAATTGTAGAAATGTTGAAGATGTGAAGAGATTTACAGAAAATTATAAAAAATCTAACCCTTCTCCTTCGGATAGTTTGACTAGCAGTGACCCAACTGACGAAGTAAAAACTAATATATTTTAAAATTAATCAGAAATTGCTATTCATAAATCATTCTTAAACTTTTATACTATTATAGAGTGGAGGTGATATCTCACTTCAGTTACGACCTACTTTACCAAGAAAACAGTTTGATATACCAAGGTTCAGTCCAACAGCTGCTTGGCGTTTGTTAACAGCCTTAGAAAGTCCGACGCCAAATAGCCCAAATTATAGTGGCGGAGAAGAAGATTTAATACAAGTTATTGATCAACCTCATCATAATAATGGTGATAAATCTGGTGATAGTGGTATATCTGGTGATGCTAGTCCTCATTCAGCACATAATTCTCAAGTATTTTATTGATTACTCAAAATTGAATATAGCTTATCATTAAATACAATGTTTTAATAGGTGGCTTGGACTCCACAACAAGACTTAGAAGAAACAAGTTCGGATGGAGGTCTAGATTCGGCTCCAGTATCGCCACAAAGTTTAGATGCTGTTCAGTTTTCAAGATCTCGTACAGTTGCTAGACCAAGTTTTTGTTTGTCACTCCCCAAGGAAGATAATACAGTACTTGATACACGATATGGACAATCAGTTAGTAATTTTTTTAAACGTAAATCATTCAAAACGTTGATATTTTTATTGTGCTATTAGAGTGAAGAATTTTCACCTATGAATCCACCAAAAGCTAGTAGTTACTTTAAATCTAAATTAAATAAAACTAAAGTAGCTCTTGAAAAAAGTAAGTCACGTTTGGACGATAATTGGGTATTAAGCAAAAGTGTACCGGATTCGTTACATAAGTCTGGCTTAGTGGGTAACTATCCATCTTGTAATTGGGAACAAGAAGAATATTTAGGTATTGACGAGCCTACTGATGAAAATTTAACTATGTCTTCGCTGCCCAAATTTTCATATTTAGCTGCTGGAAGACGTGCTATGTATTTACCAGAATATAAATCTTTAAACTGCATGTATCCTAGGTAAAATTTGTTTTAGAAACTTCAGGTTTTTACATTCATTATAGACGTTGTAATTATTTTAAACATATGTTTTAGAAGTGAAAAAAATAATTTTGAAGAGAGAATTAAAAACATATCTCAATCTTGTGAAAATTTAACACGTGATAACCAAAAAGATGATATATTACCTATAAAAAATGATAGAGTTCGGCAAAAGAAATCGGCGAGTAAAAAATTCGCCTTCCAAAGTACAATCAGACAAATCGAACGTAGGAAAATAGCTGAAAAGTTAGCCAAGGAAGCAGAGCATAAAGGTTAAAATAGTTATTAAATATCTTTTTTAAAATTTTATTTTACTATGTATGTGAAATTTAGAACGCCAGCGATTAAGTGAAATGGAAGCAATGCGACGTGTTGAAGAAGAATTCCAAAGAAAACGCGAGAGGGAAAAAGCTAACATCCGGCAACAATTAAGACTGTACACATTAACTCAAGGAGACAGAGAACCCGCTCAACCACTTCCATCAGGAACTCAAGTGTTATCAGAATTCCGAGAAGCAAGACGTGACTATAAGGACTATAATACTTCCAGGTAAATCTTAAAAAATATATTTATTGTATTTTTATAGTTGAATAATTTCATTGGAAAAAATTCGAACATAGCAGAAATGTAGAACACGATTACAATGCAGAAAGTTTTATTAAAAAGACTGTTACAACTGTTCACCCTAAAGTCGTATATCAAATGCCCAAAAGTACACCAGTGTATGTAACACCTAATAGCTCTCGTAAACATACTAGTGAAAAAGGATCGTCTACCTCAACATCTGCAAATTACAGAAGGGATTTTGCTCAAGGAGCTTTGCCACATTCAGTAGCCAGTTCAGATTCCGAAGTGTCAGTATCGCATACTAGATCAACATCTCGGACGAATCATCGAAGCAGGTATTTACAAAACACAAACATGACTAACTATACCAAAATTGATATTTTTAACTATTAACGCTAACAAACTTAACAAAATGACTATATAGTAATTATACTATATGTTAACAGTAGACTTTAATTATTAACTATTAATTTAGATATTTCGGTTTTAAATTAAACTATTTAATCGAATCAAATACATATGCATATTAAATACATAATACATATTAACTAAATTATTGGTATTGGATGTAAACATTAATCTGTAGAATACTTACAAGTAAATTGAATTTCTAAAAATATTTCATTAATTTGGGTGTTATAGAATACAGGATTATTTTATTACATTTTAGAAATGAACATTAAAATGTATTTATAATACTTAACATAATTTATTTTTTACTGTGATAGGGTTATAGAATTTTTTATTTAAAAAGAGTTGGTTTATGTGTTATCGAAAATGTTTCATCAGTGGTGTTATAATCGAATTTCTTGTAGATTGTGCTTGTGTACTCCAAATAAACTTAGGGGTCACAAAAATTACCTCATAATATATATATCTAAAATTATTCAAGGGTGCTAGAATTAAAAATCGCCTTACAGTTAAATGAAAAATCAATTGTAAAGATTAAGAATTATGCCTAAATTACCCCCTTGTTTTCAATACTTATGACAATTAAAACATATTAAACTATAACTTAGAGTATCCAGTGGCGTATTTAGCTCTTTAGCGTCCCTTGGCTAAATGATTCTATCATGCCCCTCACTGCTTAGCAACCAGTATTTCATATTCGGTCAATATATTACTACTAATTTATACTTATTACACTATAATATAATAATATTCTTAGATATTAATAATTATAATTATAATAATTATTATTTATAATTAAACTTTATATACAGTATATTCTATGATTACAATATGTTATTTTAAATTATTATGTTTACTTAGAAAACCTTGTACAAAAATTGTTTTAAAATAAATTTAATATTAGTTTTGAATTTATAATACCAAACAAATGTCATCTCTTAAAGATGCCGTCCTAGACTACGACCTACTTGGTCTCAATACGCCACTAAGATTAGCTACTCGAACACATAAGTAAAATATTACAAATATCTGTTATTAATTATTACAATCCATATTTTTGTACATATTTATTTTTTTATTATATTTATGAGCTTTAATAACAAACCTAACACAGGTATTAGAGTCCAAGACTTCGAGATTTTGTGTATATTCTAGTCAACAAATTTTCAAATCACTTTTCACCAAAATAGGTTGGTAGAAATGTTGTAAGACTTAAATAAAAATTAACACTTGTGAATTTACTTATAAACGTGTTGAATTTTAGGTCGACAAGCCCCATTTCCGATCAAGAAAATAGTTATGTCGATACTGACTTTGATAATGCAAACTTCACATCTAAAGTGGAGGAAGAATGTCAATTGAACAGTTCAATGGTAATATAAATTACTTTATGCATGTTGATTTTATTTAGTTGTAATTATTTGTGTTTGATAGAGAAATGATGGAGTTACCAATGAAGTAATACCCACACACGGTATTAACACATTACAACCATTTTCCAAAAAAAAGAATTCAATGTACAAACCTATATTTTTCAATCCAATAATTAAAAATAAATTTGCTCAACCATTAATTTAGAATTGGACTACCTTTAAGTAAAAAATATATTTTAAATTGTTAATTAATTTTTACTATTTTTAATATTGTAACCAACATTTATTATTTCCTAGTTTATATTATAAATAATAAGCCTTTATAAACATACATTTAAAGAGGCTTCATTACAATTATTGTTATAGAGTTTTAATTAGTAAAATTTTAATTAATCCAATTATTCTCCATAATATTATTTTTTAAAACATAATGTTATTATTTGAAAGTTAACATGTTTATAATTGTTGATTTTTTTTAGTTTATACCCCAAAAATAAAGTAAAAATTATGAATATTACATGATGTATTTCAAAATAAGTTAATACTAATTTTTTGGAAATATAATAGGTCAATTTGTTTATAAGATGTCTGTTAAATACACTTTATATTTGTTTGCCATAACTATAATAATAAAATTATTGTAATTATTGTACATAAACATGTATTCAATCTGAAAATTTTATTTTACATAACATTATAATTAGAAGAAATTGTATTTTTTAGATGTTCATAAACAATGGCGCACACAGGGTTTTTCAATAGGGACTAATATATATGAACTTTAAAGGCCTTTATTGTTTACTCATCAAATTATTTTACAAACTCAAAATAAAAATGGTAGCATAGTGGGGTCGTGACAAAGTATGAGCGTGGCATAGTTTGTACTAGTATAGATGATATCTGAAAGTGATTAAAATCACTATCATAAGAAATGCTTCGGTGCAAATCTGTAGATAGTGTTTAGTTTTAAGAAATTGGTGGATTATTCAAAAGCAAAATTTTAATTCAAAAAGAATTAAGGAAAAATTACGAAAATACTTTGCCACAAGCAATGATTTTTACTGAATCGACAAATGTTTGTCATATTCATTTAATAAAATTGGCAATTTAAGTTGATTCAAATGTTAAAATTAATTTTTTCAACTTAAACGAAAAAAAAAATTGATATAAGTTTAACTTTATGTTTTATGTCAGTTAGTATTATATAATATTCATGAAAATCAGTGTACCCCATTATAAGGTATATTAAAATAAATTAAAATACAAAACCCAAAATTTTAACACAAAAATAGCATATATTTGAATATGATAACGGTTATCAATACCATGTCCACTATTTATCGAATTTTTTTTTTTTCATAGTATAGTGTATTACATAACCTTTAATTTAAGATTAAATAAAAGTGTCAATATTCCGGAAGATTTTCAAAAATTGAGTTGTAAAAGTTTAACTAATAAAATCTGAAATAGTAAATTTAACATCAAAATTGAATGTTTTTTAATTACGGTAACTATTTTTGCACATAGAAGATAAGTCGTCGGAAAAACATTTTTTTTTTTTTTTGAATATCTATGGTTATAATATAAAAAAAATTATTTTAAATTATTAATTATTCAAAAAGTTATGGTCATTTTTAGAAAAAAAAAAAAAATGAAAAAATATCAAAATTTACCGATTTTAAAAATCGTCATTTTTTGGGGGATTTTCACTATTTACGGTGAACAAGGGCAAAATTTTCAATTTTTGATGTCATCAACTAGATACGATTTGTGATCTTTTGACGTATTGTTGAGAAAAATTGGTCCAATGGTAAAATTAATAGTTTCTCAGCTTCGCATCGAAGCTAAAAATTAGTAGTTCCTATTTATTATGAGTAACCATGAACTCACCATTAGTATTTAATTAATTTAATTGATATTTCCTTAATTGTAACTTTTCTTATATAATCTCTGGAGGATCGATTTTACAAAAGATCCTAGACTATTGGAACCTTCTCTAAATAGGGCACCAGCAGCACTATTTAGAGCACAACAATACAGAATAATAAAGTTTTTAATGACAATAAACAAATTATTACATAAAAAACGTGATATTTTAAAAGCACACCCTAATAAGTGTAATCGGGGGTCCAGAGGGGAATTAGCTCTTATAATTTTATCTCAATCATCCCCTGAAAAATCATGAATTACTTGTTAACTTATAAAAAAAAATTTTAAAGAGGAAAGTAATAAAGTTCGATTCTCTAAAAATTTTGTTCAAATTACGCTTATACACAGAATGAATAAAATATACCTTACTTTAATTTAAAACTACGATTATAAAATTAATATAACAATAATAACAGGAATTTAAATATTTTTTCATCAAAAAAGGAACGAAAAAGGGAATAAGTTCTTTTTTAGAGAAACTGGATTTGGAACGAATTCTTATTTTAGGAAGTATACTTATAAGTATAAGATTAAAAAGAAAATTGTCCATACTACCCCGTAGTTAATTTTATTTATGTTACTCAGATTTTTGTATAAATATGCTCCTGCATCTATGTTCTGATGCAAGATATTTTGTGGCTTTTTTTTATTATTTATTAATTTTATTTTTTTGTAATAAAAAGTCCTTGTCTTTGCTTTTCATATACCTTATAGGAATTTTTAATCTCTGAGCTCTAGGTAACTAAATTGGTGCTATTCCCCTCTCGACAGTCCTGTAAGCTAATTAAAAATGTTACAAAGTATTATAAGCAATTAAAATATAGCAATAAAGTACCATTATACAATGATAGTGTATATAGTGATAATGTAAAATATTACCGTGGTAATTAACGTATAAAAGTGGTTATTCTAGGTTTTGTTTAAAAATTAACATGGAATAAATTCAATAATAAAAAATAACCATGATCTTAAACATTAATTTTAATATATTTTCTTTTAATTTTAAGTAAAACAATATAAAAATTATAATGAATATACATATATGAGGTATCTGTAATAGTTCTTAATATCATGTTTGAAAAATATTTTTAGCACATGAAATGTATTTGTGATGGTTAAATTTATTATTTTAATTTAGGTTCTATTTTTTTTTTAATACTACCCAACAGTCCTTAAATAAACAAAACTTTTCTAAGATTAATGAAATCAATCCAACGTAATTTGTTTTTCAATTAGTGTCCAGGATCTATGAATATCTATTCCTTGGTTTTTTTAAATTGTAATGAATTGTAAACATAAAAATTAAAAGTTTTTTACGCTGTATCATCTGCAAATTTTTATATCTGAATACATTACTTTATGTTTTATGATTAAAGATCTAATTAAATTCTTTGCTGGTAATCCTGTAACTGACTATATATCTTTATTTTACTTAAACGTTATCAAAGAGAGAAAAAATCCTCAAAATCAAAATAAGTATACATAAAACTAGTATTTTCAATCTAAAAATTGTTTATAAGTAAATAAAGTAATAATTTTAGGATAATTAAACAGATATGATATGTTAATAAATTATGTGAACCGAAATATTTTAGTCTGAAGGATAGTAATACTACCTAAAATAACTTATAGATTTTTATAAATGCTTTCAATAAACATTGGTAGTTGGCCATTTTTATTATTACAAATCATGAAATTAACTAGTAATATTTAATAGTATTATATAGTTTATTTTAATAAGTCAACCAAAAAATTGCTAAAGAAAATAGATATATTTTAATTTGACTTTTTACTTTAGAAAAATTAGTTACAATAATTTTAAATAGCCTATTATCATAATATAAACCTTTTTTTTAACCCTATAAATAATCCATGTAAATGTGATTAATATAAATAAAGTACTAATGATGTTTTTAAAATTAATTTTTAATTCATTTTATAATATTAGTTTCTACTATAAGTATTTAAGATTGAAAACTCTGGTTTGAGATTAATAAAGTAAAGTTTTATTAGATTAATTAAGGTTTTGGATACTTTAATTTTTTGAAAAGTGATACTTATTTTGAAAAATAAACTTTCTCTTAGTACCCGTGTAAATTATATCATATACTTACCCGCGAAAGATATTTTTCTCCATGTTTACATTTGATAAAACTTATAACATATCATATGAATTTCCCGCCAATTCGCTTGTTATATCACATATATGAATTATATTATAACGTGTTATGATATAAACACAGCTGATTAGGCTTAAAAAAAAAAAGACTACATTTGAAACAACAACAAAATTTACGATTACTGTATTCGGTGGCGCTATTTTCCTATTGTGACGCAGGCACAGCAAACAGGTCGTTTGATAGAAATTTAAAAGAAATTAGATTTAACTACAAGATTCTTTTGACTGTAGTTTTTGGTAAGTTTTTTTTTTATAAAAATATCAATTATAACCTATTTATTAACATAAATTTGCATTAATTATTAGACAATTTCTTTTTCTTTTTGCTACTTTTTGTAAGTTTTGTTATAACCACACGTGTGTGTTGTAGCTATCTTATATATTTTAATGTTGTAATATTTATTAAAAAATATAATAAAATCTAATCATGTTGAAGATTTATGTTTTTGACACTCAATATCTGTGATGTTTTCATGTGTATATTATGTTAAATTTGGAAAGATAATGCTAATTTATTGAAGTGTAGCTAAAATGTAAGAATATATGAGGAATAATTTTTTATTTTCAAACACTTTCGAAATAAGATACTTATAATTTTATTGTGTAAATAATATAAGATAAAATCCGTAATCCTTTATTTCTTAACTACATAAAGTTAAGAATTATTAATTTTTATTTTATGTATCAAGATTTAAAAGTAAGTAGAGACAATTTTATTCGACTTATTGAAGTTTTCTTATTATAGGAGTGTGCACGGTAGATATTATTTATGAGGATTATTTAATTTTTTTGTTAATATCTGAACTATTTTATAAAAAAATAATTTATTCGGGTGGGGTGCATTGCTTCAAGTTTCCCCTTGGTATCTGAGCTTAACCTAATATTATTTCAACCATGTTATTTTAATAATGAATAATACAATTTTAATTTGAATACTTACAATTATTTGTGAATAATTTTTGCAAATTTAATAATTAAATATTTTACTATTATACTATTTATGAAATTCTAATTTAGTTGATTACTTGTATTAAATATTTAGAGTTTTTTATATTATTCTTTTAGTTAAAAAAAGTTATTCTTTAGCAGCTACTATTTTCTACTATCTAACTATATAAAACTTCTTTTTTCAAGGTATAGTAATTTTTGAATGTTAAGTATCTTAATTATAGCAAGATAGATGATCTTATATAAGTAATTCTTAGTAGTAATATTATCATTGTAATGTCAATGATATACCTGGATTATATTTAGAAAATAAATTTTAGACATTTATTTAAGTCATACACTTATATAAATTCTCTTGTCCAAACTATTTTTAAAATTTTATTTTTTTAAACAAGCTATACATTTTTTAGTTTGGACATAT